CTCCATGTTCCGCTAGGCATATAATTGCGCTTTAGACTAGACTGGTATAAAATGAAGATTGGCTACAGCATAAATGTTCATTACATTGAAAGTAAAAAAAAGCTAAATTATCAGAGGCAGGGAGGGAAAGTGTTTTCCTGTGCACTGTGTTGGCAGTGCCATTTCAGTGCCTCTCCATTATGCTGTTCCCACATCTCGGTTTGGAAGGAAAGGGCAAAAAAACAGATGTGACGTGGAGAAAAGAGGTACTCAAGGTTGTTGGTTTTATTTTCATTAGACACAGTGTTCTCTCCTTGCACTCTCTCTTGGTATTGGTTCAAGCTCTTAATATTAAAGGAATTGCTGAGGTGGGGAGAGGTGGACCACAAGAGCCAGAAGAGAGGAAATTGGGTGATTTGCCAAGAATAAGAGAGACAAGTTGTGCTTGATGTTTTTCTTTAAGAGCCTTTCAATGCCACTTTTTTTCCAGTTTAGCTTGATTTTAGCCAAGGAGGTCCTCTTAGATTCCCTTGCTGCTCTTAGTTATGACATGGACAGGTTTTCTCTATTTCTGGCCAAGTAGTCTTCTTCTTACAATTACCTAACTTACTTTAATTCTCGAGAAGCAGCACTGATACACCCATTCTTTACTTTTGATATCTTTCTAGTTTTCCAGTGGCACAAGGTGCAGTGCTTCACATCACTTTACTGCACTATGTTTGCTGTTCAGTGTGCTGAGAACCTTCTTCCTGTTCCCTTTGCCCTCTCCATCACCGTTTCTATTGTCTGGTTTGATCCAGTCCAGCAGGTGACAATAGGCCACACTTGAAAAAAGCTTGTTTCCTTCCTTTGTCCCCCTTACAGCTTGAAGGTCCAAACCCTGGGTACTGCATGATGATCTAAGGCTCTTTGGGAGGCTGTGTTTTTATAAGCATCATGTGCTATGGCTCTTGTACTTAGCCAGGCACTCAACTAAACATTATTTTTGGGGTTGGAAAGGGATTATACTTTCTTCCTTTCTTGTTTTTCGTTAGATACTGTAAGAGGAGCTTTTATGAAGGGTTGGATGTGGTAAGTCATTTCAACTTCTATGTCTGTAGGTATTATTTTATGGCATCTAGTTACTTTTGTTATAGGTATTATGATATAATAAATAAATAAAATATTATGACTTAGTGGCTGCAATGCTGATTCTGTTAACAGGCTTATTCTCCCTCTGTTACCTGTATTTGTTTAAAGTGACTTCATTTAACATTTATGTAGGCTTTGGTGCAGAGAAAATGTCTTACAACAGGAGTTTGTCCTAAGGGATCCTTACGGTACTAACAGCCACATCATCTACCGAGGCAGATATTGCTAAACACTGATATGAAAAGGCATCATCTAGGTGATTTAAAATCATTTTTTACACGCTTGTTTTGCAACAAAACACTGTGAAAGTTAATCTGAGCTTATCCTGTTGCCTTTCTGTTGAAGGCAAAGAGGTACAGGCATTACCTGGGCATCGGGTGGAAGATGAATGCTATCACATTACTCTGATACAGCTCCAGTAGGAGAGATTGTGTTGCTCCCATCATGGTACCTGTAGAAAATTTACTTTCTTTGCTCATCTGACTTCTCTGCCCTGCTCCATCAGTGGCTTCCAGCCTGAACATGGGCTTAATCGTCTTCCACTCAGGTCAGGGAAATACTCAATGCCAGAGTCTGGGTAGGGGGGAGAATAAAAGGAAAATTGGGAAATCTTCTTTTCTAGTCTGCCTTATATTTATTTCTCATTATGTGGTTTTGGGCTTCATCTCACTATTTTTTTGTACTGTGCTTTCCCATCTGATAAGTAGGGTCGATGCTAATAATAACCTCCTGCATCCTGTGTAATGATAAGAACCTGCAACATGTTCATATAAAAACTGGAATTATTACTACAAAATATTTATTTTCTGATACATGTTCCTCTTAATGGAACCCTGCCTTAGACTGCTGTAACTACCTTCCCTTGGGATCAAAGGGAAATTCCCAAAGAGTAGAGCATGTATGTTCAGCTCAAGTTTGGGTTTCAATGTGCTGTCATGTTCTAGCAGTATTAATTTGAAGCAGGAAAAGTCACTTCCTGAAAGAGTGAAATTAGTCTCTATGTTCAGTCTGTTCTGGGGTCATGCTCCATATTCCATACTGGAATAAAGGGTACTTTGGAATATCAAGAAAAATTCAGAACAAACACAGTCTTTGGGACAATAACAGAAATCATTAGGAATACCATGAAAGTTAGAGTCAGAAATAGCCTAGAGATAAAGACCAGTTATAGGAGACAGTTGTGGGAGAACTGGGTTTGTTTAATTTAAAAATGGAAATCTGAGAGATAAGAAGCCTTCAAGCACATAAAATGTGGAAAAGACAAAGAGAGGAAGCTATTCCCCATGGCCATGATAGATAGGACAAAGACGTAATGGGATTAAATTGCAGTAAGAAAGGTTCAGGTAAGACAAAGATCGCTTTAGGAGGTGGTGAATTCTGCCTTTAAGGTCACATTAGAAGTCTTCAAGAACACATTACATAAGTAAGTTTCGTGAATGACATAGGTGTATGTGATCCTGAACTGAAGTCAGGAAGATGGACTAGGTGACCTGTCATGGTCCATTCCAACCCTCTGAATAAGACCAAGGAATTGAATACCTTGAGTGCAAGTAAGGTGTGATGGTCTATCAAGGCAAAAATCTTATCAGACAGACTGAAACAGGTCTTTTATTGGACTGATTTTAGACCTAAGAAAGACAATATGTCTTGCAATTTCTGCTTCCAACTTGGAAAAAAAAAAAGACCTCTATATCTTTCTCCCCATTTCCCATATTTTTCTCTATTTGCCAAATAAAATATAGTACCTTTCCATACAAATTTTGCCTTGCTTAGGCCATCCCTTGGTAAGAATTAAAGACATCTGGGGAAAGCTTTGACATTTCTGCAGTGTCTTTGTTCTCCAGAAGGATTGTAGGAATTATTTTTGGATGTTATTTTGAACAACCACTGGTCAAAATGTTCTTTTTAGAATATTCAAAACCCAAAGCATTGATCACAATGGAATTCTTGGAAAGTGTGTTTGAAAAATGGCCATGCTGGAAGACAAGATTTTATAAGAAAAAATCAGATATTTATTAGTGGCTATCTTTTTTATGCAGCATTATCCAGGCTTTAAGGATTTGCTTAACTGTGTCATTCCTGTTCTGGGGACATCACTTTTGCCTATGCTGAAAGGGGACCTCACTTGTCATTTTTATTTGAGGCCATTCTGTCAGGATATATTCCAGTCCTGCCATGCAAAGATCCATCTCTCCTAGAGTTTCTCAATGCCCAACTTTTCCTACCTACAGAACATACATCTTTTATCTCTCCAGAAAGACATTTCATAATACAGGAGTGGAAAGAGAGAATAAGCTGTCACTGGAAGAAGTCAGAGATGGTTTACTGGTTTCTACCAGTTTTCAAGACTGGAAGGTTGTCAGGTTGGTCTAAGTTGCATCTACCATAGTTCCATGTCTCCAAAATGACTCTTGTCCTTATGAAACAATCTGATATGCTTGGAAGCCTGGTATTGTGGCCAGAAAAGCTTGGACCAGAGAGGTAAGACTGGGACAAACAGGAAATTCACACTTCTCAGAGATACAAATTCCTTCAAGCAGAAGTGTATCTCATCCCCCTCACCATCAGAACCTCTTTACATTTTAAGAAAGGGACAGGACATATTAAAAAGCCAGAGAAAAAACCACCTTTTGTATGTTATACTTAAAGTGGCTTTGGACCTGAGCAAGCTGTATGTGTTGTGGGAAGGAGCTGTTTGTGAAGTTGGTGCTGTCTATAGACTTCCCTATGAAATCATAAGACATTGGCTTAACAAGTTGTGTTTATTAACTGAATCATGGTGACTTACGATGTACTCTTTACAACAAATGCCAGGTAAAGAACAAGTTTTTAAGCCTCTGTCAGAAGTGGCCTGAGCTAATGTGTTTTCCTTGCACCAGTAAGCTACCAGTCAAGAAGAGATACTGTGGAAGCAGAGATGTGCATCTAAGCACTTACTCAAGTAACAGCCTAATATCTAAGTATCTGTTCTATGCTGGTCTTCTGCTTCCATCTTCACTGCAGTATTTAGGCACTTTCTACAAAAGCATGCACTGGCATTATTAAAGCATGGGTTATTCCTGTGGATGGAACAGTGAATTTAGTGGTATTCCAGCTGATTTTAGGAATTTAAGATTCTTTAACATAAATATATTTTCACTTGGCTTTTTTTCCTCTCTTTTTAATACATGTACAGGCAGCAAATTCTCATTTATGCTAAAGATTAGCACTGTTAAAGAGATAAACCTGGTACCAGGAGTGAAAAGTCGCAAGACTTACGTTACTCTGTTAAAGAATCACCCCTAAAAATCACAGTATCAGTACTTGCCACCACATCAACATGTGGCACCAAGAAAAGTCCATCTCTCAACCGGTGAAGTATTCCTTTAATGATAGACTCTCACTATGGCAAAGAGCAGCATCTGCAACTGAGAGCTTTCTGAAGTGTTTTTAATGCCTTGGGCCCAGGCTATGAGGATAAAGACCATGAAATTTGCTGTGAGTTCTGTGGGGAGCCAGCATAGGCAGCAGAGGACAAGTAAGAGTTGTTCATATTGCTGCAGGGAGCTGTGTAAGCTGGACTCTCCAAAGGGTCATCACAATCCTGTAATCCAAACAGAAGGTGACAAAAGCTTGGCTACCCAATGCCAGGACATGATGTGCCAGGATTGAGTGGAGTGTTCAAGCCAAATGAGGATGGCAGAGAGCTCTGCCTCGGCATGCTCTGTCCATGACAGAGTGCTCTGGGGCCTTTCCTAGAGCACTGCCTGAACAGACTGTTTGTGGCTGTTCACAATATGTAAAGGCTGCCACAGAGGGACCATAAACTATTCAATGTGCTTTGTTTTGCCTGCCAGCATAATCTGCATCTTCCTTGGGTTCAGCTTGCACAATCTGTTCTTCCTCCATAGAGATCATCATGTCCAGGAGATGAACCACCCTGACCTAATAGGCTCACCACAGTGAAATTAAAGCAGACTTCTCCAGGTCTAAAACTGAGGCACCTGGATTTATATTCTACCAGATATTACACAAGAGTAGATTCAGAACTGCTCTAGTGGGTCTCTGGGTGTAGCCATGAAGGCTGGAAACATGCTGATAACTGCCAAGAGTTTTGGTACAGATCTATAGGCTACTTACTAATGCTTTGTAAAGGCTACACACACCATGCAATGTGTAGGTTATTCCCAAGATGAATATTCTTCTTTATTTTCTGATATTTAGGCTATATTTTGTCCATTTTAATGCTGTCCCATTTATTTTTAGCTGTATGCTTCTTCTCTTACCAGTTCTGCTGTAGGACCTTGAATTAATGTGATTGCATTTGCTGTGTAAGTCTCAGTGGCTTTTGTGCAAGAAAAGGGTGGGATTCAGATGCAGGTATGGGACTGGCACACTTCTACACTTCACAAGCTGCAACATGCAGATCCATCAGACATATGTGACCCCACCACCTCTGAAGTGCAACAATCCATGGCTTTCAGACCCAGGTCTCAACTGTCAGTATAATATTAGGAATATAAGTTGAATATAAGCCTTCATTTTAAACTGCCATGAAGAAGGAGGCTTCTTAGGATATGTGTAGACATGGTTGGACAGGGTTTGAAGGGTTACAATTGAATTTAAAAGAAAAAGTCAACTAATGAAAAGAAAACTTCTTGGTTTGGTGGCCAAGCAGAAGTACAGGGAGAAAAAGGTCTGGTTTGGATCAAAAGGGGAATTTTGCCATAGGTTGGGAAATAAGCTGTTGACTTCACTGTAGCTTGAGAAATATAATTTATGTGCCCAGCATTTCCCTTGAATGTCAATAACATGTTTTGTTTTATTTAATTCCATTTTAAAATATACACATATATTTTCTTGTTCCCTCTACAGGGTTGATCAATTCTTAAAAGAGTATGAAAAGGTTAAGGTTTGTTTAAGAAATGTCAACGTGAAATATTTCAGTGTATTAAAAACTTTCCTATGAAAATATCTCATTAGAACTCCTCCATTACCCACCTTTTCTGTTTATTTATTGCAAGGATTTTCCCCTAAGGACAGGGGAGAATGCTAAAAACCAGGTGGGTTAGTGAAAATTATTTCTTAATCAGGATGAAACAAGAAAGTATTCTGTTCCCCCTTGTCTATAGTTTTGAAAGCCATTTTACTGTCACTTGTGATGTTATTTTCCTCGTTTAAGGTGGACTGTCAGGTTGTCATTTGGGTCATTACTTTTAAAGCACTAAGTCCTAGTTACATCTCTGTCACGTACACCACAATTTAGTCCAGCCTAAGACTTCTTTTGTATAGATCTTCTGTAGCTCTAGGCAAGTCAGGTAAAATCTGACTGCAGGTTGCGATGTTTCGAAAACTCACTTGTAAGACTTGTTTTGTCCCAAAGTGTTTATTTCCAGGAGAAAGATAAATGGTAGAGACACAGGATTTTGAAGCTATGCCACTAGCTCCTTGAGTGACCTTAGGGAGAGCACTGGAAGGTTTTTGCATTGGTTCCCCATCTGTAAAATGGAGACAAATCACACTGAACCAGACCACTAGGGGGTATTTTGAGGCTAAATTATTTAATGTTTCCAAGGCTCTCCAAGCCTGTAGCAGTGAGCTCAGACGAAAAGCCTGCATGTTACATAAACCCATTACACAGGCCTATGCAATTAGAAACGATAATAAACTTTCTCTATACATGTGCAGGAGACAGGTTTGAAATATTAATGATGTGAGGGGTTTTGTTGATGCTGTTTTTCACAATGCCAGATGTGCTGCCTCTGCCTCCGAACCAAAGCAGGGCAGTGGGAGTTCATCTGAAAAAGCAAAGCCACTCAAATATTTATTTACGTGTTACATCAGTACAGTGAGAACTTCAGCTCACCATGAGCAGAGCCGGCAACCTCCATCACCAGCTCTGTAGAGACAAAGCAGTCACTGTTAACCCGTACTTAGCTTATGGAGGTCCCAGACAGTGTTGCTCACATGTGAGCTTCTTTGATACCAGACTGAAAAAGCTGACTCCAAGAGTGAGTTTTCCTGAAGGCAAATGCCTCATCTTAGTGTAGCACTAAGTCTCTACAAGGCTCTTCTCTCTCCCAGGGCAAAATGCTGCAGCCAGGAGTTTGGCAGCATCTCTTCCTCCCCGGGATGCTGCTGTGTACTTAAAAATGGAAGGCTGTAGCCAGAACCTGAGATAGCTCAATTCAAGATTACCCTCACCATTGATTTCTGTTGTGTTCTCTTGTATCCTTTGATTTACTGTAGCCAAGCACATTTTTGTTCATGAACTTTACATGAGTGTGCTGTCATGCAAACCGGGGATGGACGATGCTGGTGGACACTGGGGAAAATGATGGCATAGGGACAGGAGTGGTGCAGTATGCACATGCAGTGAATCATTTGGCTGCAAACTGGGGAACTTGGTCATCAGCCAGAAATGGAGCTACACATTTCACGTTTAGCCACCTCATACAGGCACAGAACAATGAACTTGCTTCCCTGGCCATGTCCTCTCTGTTGATCAGCCATGAAAGGAGATAAATGCCCTCCAAGTGTGCTGAACATGTGCCCAGAAGGTCTAAAGACTGCAGGATCGCAGAGGCTGTACAGTGCTCAGTCCATAATGAATCCATTCTTAAGTGCTTACAGGCAATGAGGACACTGTCAGCAATAAAACTCAGGCTGAGGACTTGGTCCAAAGTCTGCTAAAGTCAATGGATGTTCATTCAAAGACTAGAGCAAGAGCCCTTTTTATGGCCATGCTGTAGAAGGTAAGCAGAAGTGGGAGGTGCACTATTTCCCTTGAGTAATGCCATTTGCAAGAGAATGAGGCAATCACAGACAGCCAAAGTATTACACATGTTGAGAAGCTGGTGAACTTGAGCAGACCACGTCTGCTATGGTTCAGTGGAGCTGGCTGCATAGAGGTCTAATCCTCTTCCAGTTTCAGTCGGTGGAAGTGCTCACAGTGATTTCAAAAGGACTACAGGTTCGGCTCAGAGTGACTATTGTTACAGAAGCACAGCTTTAACTTACCCTAAGTGAGGGTGAAGGGAGCAGAAAAGAAAGGGGTGGAGATAGGGGGCAGAAGGACAAGGCTTAAAGTCCTCTCCTGATTAAAGGACCTGTGATGGCTGCACTTGGATGAGCTTTTCCAAAGCACAGAAACAAAATCTCCACCCTGCCAACACAGCATGAACTATGCTCACCCTGTAAATAGGAAGGCAGAGCAAGCAAGCCCTAATTGTCTTGCAATGGCTCTCCCTGAAGCTGCAGCATTCTTTACCTGTAGCCAAGCAGCTACTGCAAAAGCCTCAGCTCTTTCCCTGTTTGCACACATCAGAGAAATGACTCCCTGTATGATCCTTGCAAGCAAAGCATCCTAATGATCAGTGCAGGAGAATGGCCAATGCACCCAGCACCACTATGTAAAGTCAGTTTTGATCCATGGGGCCATTCAAAGCAGCATTAGTGGTTAGTAAACCATATTCCGCAGTGCATGACATAAGCATTCTCCAGTCGAAGAAAGGACTTAGTTGTATCTCTGAAACAAATGCTTTCATGAAATCTCCAGGCTATCTGTAAACCAGATTCTGTGATGAAATTTCTGCCTTAATCCCAGCCTCTTGTGGGAATGCGAAAAGGGCATAGCTGTATGTGTTATACCTATGCATATCTTTCTTTGCTCCTGCATCCAAGGTTTTTATAGGCTGTGTCATACAGTCTGTACCTTTTAAGACAGCAAGGCTGTCAAAACCTATTCCGGGAGAGTTGTCAGCAGCACAGTTTTGGTCTAATAAAGCCATATCTTTCATCTGGCATTCTGCAGGGATCTGGAGCAACTCTTTTAAAGGCACTGAGAGAGGCTGCATTAGGTCTCAGCCAAACTTTGTAAAAGATGATCGGCAAATCACGATCACAATTAATTAGTGAAATGTTAATTTTAATGGTCAATGGACATATCAACAGGCTAATGGTAGGATATGCTGTGAAACCCAAAATATTTACAAGGTCCATAAGTGAGCATGGATCCTGTAATAAGATACTAGTCCTGTCTTCTAACAGAAGTTTCCAACGTAGCTGTTCTGGGATGAAGATCTGCACTGTAGCTGCAGCCTCCATGGGCTTTTTTTTTGTTTCTCTTGGGGAACCTGGGCTTTTCATCCCACCTTGTCACCATTGTGACAGGGTGAATGGACACCCTGGAGACAAGAAAGGGAACCCAAGCATCTGGCTCCGGTGGATCCTGAATCCACCTGGGTAGTGGAATTGTATGTGGGGGTTTCTCTGAGGATCTTATTTGGGCTGGGGTGGGCTTTGTAAGAAGGCAGCATGTGCAGAGTCTTATGAATTATGGAAGGAAAAGAGTAATAAGGCTGTGAGATTAGTTTAGGGCTGGCCTCTTTAGGAAACTTGCTCCTGCTTGTGGGGGCAGTGGGAAGAGAGAGCTCTTCAGGAAGGGGTGAGAAATAGGCTTAGCAGATATGTCTTTTCTCTCTAAAAATATCATGGTATTTATTCTAGAATAAATGGAATAAATAAAAAGAATTATTTATTTTTTTTTTCTGATGGTCAAATCATCATTCTGGTTTAGCAGACAGAAGTCACCAAGAATATATGTGGGCTTCTATCCCAGCTGTGGTGTTTTCCAGTGGGCACTGACAAAAAGAGCTAACAGAGAAGGCTTTAGGCTTGTGCTTCTCCAGGTTATATTTCCTTCCCTGTGGGTGTTTGGTGCAGCGCCGTGGTTGGGGAATGGGGTCTATCAGGAGTGCTATACAGTATGATCTTTCAACTGAAAGGTATAAATGAGAAAGTGAATGGCAAGAATCTCAAAAGTTATTTATGGCTAGAGTCTCAAGTTATTTATGATCAAGGCTGTGATTCCAGTCTCTGTATTCTGGCATTGCTCCTCGTGGACATGTGATGGAGAAAAAAGGCAAGAGGATTTGGAGCTTTGTGGGTGATCCCTCCCATATCTTTTCTTACCCTGGTGTGCCTTCTTTCCAGATACAAGACTTCAGTGACTTCCAGCCACTTCTATATCAAGTGTGGAATGTACCCAGGCTACGAAAGGCTCTACTATCCCATTACCAATCCCCTAAACTATCATTAAAAATAATAACAATAATAGAGCTCAATATCTTCAGGCTATGCATAGGAATTAGCTGTGAATTAGCATCATATCAAGATGGAGCTGTAGTATCTGAGGTTTAATGCTTTAGCTATGCTTTCGGTCTGCTTAGATCTTGTCTG